TAGTTGCTAATAATATGTAAATACAAATAATACCATCTCAGAGTCACCTGAGATGCAATCGTGCTCTAGTCATAAAGTGGGACAACAATATATAACCATTATTAAAAAATAAGAAATAAAATATTTCCTGTTTGCCTTTTGGTTGGTTTCGTACTAGTAGTACAGACAGGCTGGGAGATTCTGAACAGAAAAGCATCATGTTTACTAGAGTAACATTTAATATCTAGCATTCTAAATGGTCACCAACTGAATAGCTATTAAAGGTGGGAAAGGAACAGAGTATTACTGAGGGGGAGAGTGTTATGGAAGGAGAAAAGGTATAGGGTATTAGTCAAATATTTTGGAATCTTAGACTGTAATGTCTGCAGTCTATGACTTTCTCCTTACTCAAACGAGTCACCTACAGCTGTGTGATTTAAATGGCACTATGAAGCACTTTGATCCTAGGTTAGTGAAGGCTACATGAACGTTTTGGGTAAACAAGATTATTTAATTAAAAAAAAAATGAAAATTGAATATGTAAGAACCTCTCTGAAAGCTTTTTGTAAACTCTGTGCTTATTATTCTTTTTGATATGTGACGGTTGTCTAACATCAGGTGCAGGTAGTTGTTTACATTTGGGAAAAACAGCTGTAAACATTTCCTTTCCCTGCTTGATAGTGTTTTATAAACACTTTCCTTGGGTGTAAATGGCCTAACAGGCTTGTGGTGGTGAAGAATCAGTTCCTACAGCCTATAAAGAGCTCAGTCTTCTGTTACGTTGGCTTGGCCAGCACTCCAGACTCTTTTTTTCATTGAGGTGAATCTTTTCAACTTAATCTTTATTGTTTTCTGTGCACACAATATGTTAACCAAGGAAAAAAATGAATAGAATTTTACAGGCATATCTTGAAACTTTGGCCTTATGTGTATAATCCCATTGATGCCGTTGGCACAATACCAACAGAAAACAAATGCAATGAAATGTAAGCAGTATCTCAGCATCTTTTCTCAAACAAATCAGTCATGTTATTTTGTCTGCCTCCAAATTTGATTTCACATAAATGCTTAGTTGCTAATAATATGTAAATACAAATAATGTCATCTTTATAAAGTACTGTAAACATATTAGAAATAAATAATAATGTTTACCAGGAAATATAATTAGGTTTGTGATATTAATAAATGATAATAAATGCAGTAATTAACAATTTAGAAATACACCTAAGTATTTTTTTAATGTAAACAGGAGAAGAGGGAGTGTGGTGATGTGAACACAATAAACGGTTTTATTGGCTCTGTTTTCATTTCACATACTCCTTTTTTAACTTCAGTCCTTGTCCTTTCCCACAGTTGCTCTCTAACAGAAGACGACCACCTGAAGAAGATAAAGATGACCTTACGGTCTTTTGCTCCTGTTCATACCAGTGTCTTGACTTCAGGTCCTCCTGGAGCGAAAAGGTAAATTTGAAGGCAGCTTTACGTCCTGCCCTCCTTGGTAGAACATAAGCAAAATTCACAGCAACGCAGGCCCATAACACATATACCTAGAGCTGCTGTTCAGCTGGTGAAAATGTATCCTGAGAATTTCAGGAGTTTCTGGTAAAATAATCCATTTTTACTAATAGCAACTGTTAAATTCTAACTTTAAATGATTGAATCCTAATGAGTTACTGAAAACCTTGTATGTGCACATGTACACAAACACATCGTTTGTCTCACTGATCTTGACTCAGCAACTTCTAAGTTGCAAAAAATTTGCTTATGTGGTATAGCTTTCAAGATTAGGCTCATTTTAAGGAAAGGCTGTCAAAATTAATATTTAATTTGCCTCATTTAAAAAAAGTAGGCCTGAGAGAGAAAAGACAGTACTTATATGGTGAACACTTCTACATGTTTTATATTAGTCACTAATACACATTATCTGTTCTAACTTCATTGATCCAATTGTTCACCAACAGTCTCTTCATATTTACGTTTGCACGTGGGATAAGCTAAAATGCCTAAGATAATCTTAGTTCAAAAGAAGACGGGTCCTACACTTTAAACTCTCACACTGCGTTTTTTTAAATGCAGAACTTAAAAGCTTCTGTAGAATCCAAAAACCATAAGAATCCATACGATAAAAGGATAAATGCTGGAATCCTTATAGGCACGAAAGCACGGAGGACATCACCAAGTCCATTGAAAATTTCACATCCAAAAACATACTTCAGCATTACAAAAACCTTAAGAGGTGCCTAGAATTCACTGGGACAATGAGAACATTCATCTGCTACAGGAATGCTTAGATGCATCTGTTTCATCCAACGTGATCATAGAATGGGTTGGGTTGGAAGAGACCTTAAGGATCACCTCGTTCCGACGCCCCTGCTGTGATGCCATCCCTCACTCCATGCTATAAACACATTTGTTTCTTCTCTTCGCAGCGAACCTCCCTTCCGACAACTGTGTGCCATACACTGGCTTTTGAAAGCTTTGGCTCTTGAATCCAGCAGTTTGAAGCATTCCATACGAAGGTGTTGGAATCCAATGTATGTGTATGAGGAGTTTGGGATCTTTTCTCCTTTATGCGCTGATGTTTCTCTTCTTTCAAGTGAAAGCTGAGTGAAACATTTGTTTTCTTTCCTTTTTCTCTTTTGGTTAATAATTATGCAAATTAAATACATGTAGTAATAAACGTATGTATATTCCCATAGCCTTCCCTTGAAGCATTATCCCAGTGAACTCAACAGGAACTCCATATGCATTATAATTACAGAACAAAGCCAACTATTAAGTGATATTTAGCTGGTTTTATTCTATCAATTATGCATGACGGTGCTGGGTACTTACAAAAGATGTGTTGGTTCTCAACTTTTATACTGTTAAAGTAAATATTAGTTTACGTTTCCAACGTTTTTTGTCAGTATAATCATGTTGACATACCATGTATTTAAGTTATTCACGAGTATTTAGTATAACAGTGAACAGTTTCTCTGATTTGCAGGGCAGAGCTCTTCAAAGCTGTCCTGTTTTCTCTGTATATTCTCAGTCAACACAAACTGTTCCTACGTATAACAGAAGTGGTAGAGTAGTGTTGTATAGAATTAGCCTGATAAATTGCAGGGGAGAATCAGTCCAGTATGTATTGTGGGTGTTTTTTTCACATGTTTACATAGGAGGACCAACCAATAGACTGGGATAAAAAACCAAACAAAAAAACCCACCAAAAACCAAAACAAACCCAACACAAACCAGTTTGTCAGCACGTCTCACAGGTACAGGCTGACAGCAGAGCAGAAATGCACAAGGCTCTGGGTTCGTTTCCAGTTTCCGAAGTAGTGCAGTCTCCTGTGTACTTCCTCCTGCTCTCTGACCACCGCTCCTCTCCCTCAATGTCATTTGAACTGCTCTGCACACACACGTACCTCATTACACAGTAACCATGAAAAAACAAGTTTACATTTAGATCACACAGTCTCTGCCTGCACAAAAAGAGAGCTTTTTAAATGTGATGAAGGAAGCAAGCTTAGAACACTGGTCTGCTTTGTAAAACCTTTGACTGATTAGGTGGGGACTGAGTGATAAATGAGACTATCTCAGCTGCAAGGACTGCAGCTTCCACGTTTACCTTTGTCAACGTGATGTAACATTTCAACTTTTGTACTGGTATAGGTCTTCATTTAGCCTATACCATGGAAAAATCAAACTGGTATGAACCTGCTGACATTTCTATCCTTTAAATCTTGTATACTGGACAAGATTCTTCAGTATTTGCAGAGAGGAAGTTGAGAGCATGATCTGGCGCAGTACACATGCATGATAGCTTGTAGAATGACTGTGCTTTCTTTAGGTGATTCTTCACTTGTGACTAACTTACTTGTGGCTTACACACCTTGCATTTTCTTTCCATTTCTTATAAGCAAAGATATACATCATAGTAGTGGTCAGCCACCGTTTACTCTCCATTTATTGCATTTCTTAAAAGAACTTACAACAAAATCAAGACTCTCAAAATGGAAAACTAATTAAATTGTTTTCACTTAGGGACCCTGGTGGTTCTAAAGAAACAGTAAAAGAAACTGAAGAGGAAAAGTTAGCAACATGCAAGTGGGAGCTCTTTATTACAAAGACAAAGGTAACTTCATTGTTAATTTCTTCCATGGGACCTAATACAACTTTTCAAGTATTTGTTTTGGTTTTGCCTAATTAAACTCCATGATACCCCATTTTATGCTCTGGATCTGGTGACTGCAGAGTACTTGTGTCTCTTGGTTTTGAAGAATAACAATTTGATACTGGGCAGTAGGACAGGCAGTATACAGCGGATTGAAACAGTGTCTTAGCCATAAGTACTGCTGAGGGAAGAATTAAATGTTTGGCTAAAACATAACTAGCCTTTTGTTTGCATTTGCCCGCTTTTTAATGACCCAGAGTCATGTTGCAGTACTTGTTCGCACAAAGAGGTCTCTTTCAGTCAAATGGGATTCCAGACTGGTATCCTGGAGGCCTTATTCTAGTAAGTTCTAGTCATTATTTGTTTGGTTGCCTTTTTACACAGAATTTAAAGCTGAATTCAGAAACAAACGCCAAATGTTGAGGCCTTTAAAGAAAGCAGGATTCACTTGCCACATTCAAAGCAAAGCCAAGGAAAGGATAAAACACGTAATTCAGATGAAAGCCTTTTAAAAGAAAAATAAAGTTAATACCTGAGAGGAAATTAAACACTAGAAAATTCTCTGTAACACTTGGTAACTGTTTTACTGTCTTTCTGAAATGACAAAGACTTTCTTTTTGAAACTACTGAAGTGACTGGAGGAAAATGAAGAGGGAATGAGTGATGCTTAGGAGTCTAACTAGCAGAACTCAATAACGAACCAGTGGGTTTCTCAGTCTAGCACATCTTATGTTTTGATCTTCAGTTTGCTTAAGCTTTTAGTTCCTTGCTTTGCCCCCTATAAGGCTAAATTAACCAAGTTTTGTGAAGTGCTTTTAGAACCCCGGGTGAGGCACTCGTAGAAATATGAGCTGTTGTTACATGCAGGCTGTTTGCTCTTGTTATTTGTCAACACCTGCAGCTCGTACCTTCATGAGATAATCAAAATGATTCAGTGGAAGATTACAGTTTCTGTTGGGGAATGCAGCAAAAGTTGTGAAACTTTTAAAAGATGAAGATTGTGTTTTTACGCAAATATTCTTCCTGCTGTTAGCAAACAGGGAAAGTCAGCAAGTCCCATAAATAACAGAGTTGATTCTAAATAGGAGGCTTTCTGATTTTTCCATACAGTCTTACCAGTTTTCTAGTCAGGTTCAAATGAACACGAGCAGAAGAAACCAAAGTGCATGTCACTCTTGATGTATCTTTTAGCACTGACATTGCTGAGACTTTTATTGTTTCCTTCCTGAATTAATGACAATTTTCTTTGTCACATACACTAATATTACTTGAATGCTGCTTTACATATTTGATATGAAACTTCTAGTGGAAATATTGGGTTCCTTTAGGGGCACTTGCTTTTATAATAAATATTGTTCTGATTATCACGCCTGTAGAATTCAGTCTGCTTTCAGACTTCAGGTTTATATTCTTGACACAGGAAATTCGTTTGCCAGGTTGTTGGGTGTTGGGAGGGGACCTGAACATTTATCAAGCCACTTTGACCTATTCTTCCCTGTACATGAGAAGGTTGCTCTGTTACGAGCCCTCTCCGCAGCTGCAGTGTTACTCGTTTACAGATTAGTTTAATCTGTTGGCATTAATGCTATAGCAGAGGAGTATTGAAGAAAGATGACAAAATAAAGAAGGTCCTATGTAGCCAAGAAATCACTATCTTGTTTGAAGTCACTGGAGAAAAATCTATGAGGTTACAGGAGAACCAGAATGGTCTAATATTGGAATTAGTTACAGAAATGTGATTCTTTGTTGTCAAATAGCTATAGAAAATCCTTCCTTGCCATTAATTTTTCCTTCTATGTACAGAAATGCACCTGGAAAGCACGATATGGTCCACTCAGCAGGAAGATAAACAAGACATCTACTCCAGGCATCTCTCAGCTTAGCGGTCAGTCATCTCCCCGTGGTCAAACCCCTCGTGGCAGCATAACTTCCACTGTACTTTGCTCTGAAGATGACGTCAAGATTAATGTAGTTTCATCCGATGTTATGAGTGAGTCAGCACAAGCCAAACAACAACCACCTTTTTTCCCCTGTAAGTTACTTTTCTTGACTGCCAATATCAAATGGATTTGCTTTCAGTGTTGCTAGGGAGAACCTACGTCAAAGACACCGCTAGATGTACGAGTGTGTTTCTCTTCAGGCACATGGAACTTTGTACAAGTCTCTCTGTGCCCTCCCCATTAGCAAAGACAATTGGTTTAAAGACAATATAATCCCACGTGAATATTAAGTAAGACTTTTAATTAATATTCGGGTACAGCAGTTGTATAATCAGACTGTCATCCACATCTGTAAGATCCAACAGGAGGTGAAAACGGTGAAACTATTCTCTGCCATAATCAACTGATCTACTGAATATGTATCTGTCTGACTTAAGGGGTTCTGTTTAACTGGGGGTTTCCTTACTCTTTATTCCTCCCATTGGTGATTACTTGTGCTTGATAGACCTGACAGAATGGTTTATCTGTTAGCTCTGCAATGTGTTTCAGTACACACCAGGTGATCTTAAGTATTTTCTCTTCCTTCTAAGTAAAGCTGGACCAGAAAAGCACATTAGTGTTTAGTACTGGTAATTATCTTTGAATTGATGTTTATATTATCATTATTAGGCTGACATCATGCTCTGTTAGACTCCAAATTACCACTCAGGAAGGAGCTCTTGGAGTCATTTGGGATAGTTCTGTGAATGTTCAGTAGCTATCAAAAAGGCAAAAAGAGCCCTAAGAATGAAGTGGAAGACAAAGCAGAAAACACATTATGTGAAAATACAGATGTTTTGTTTGTGCTGCTTCTGTTTTGGTCCTTCCAATTCTCACAGGCTGATATCAGAAGTAGGAAAGTTTGATGGAAGGTTGTGAGGTACATTAGAGATACGAAATAGCTTCCGTGAGAGAACCAATTAAATAGACCAAGTGCAGAAAAGAAACAACTGAATACAAGGTTATGACAGATCGCTGCAAGATCACAAAGTCCATGGAAATAAGTGATTAGAGACAGGTTATTCACAAGTTCCCTTGACTCTAGATTTATGGGACACCAAATTAAATTATCTGGCAGAAAATTTAAAGCAATGAGAAGTGCTTTCATGCAATGCTTGCTTAAACCTAGGAATTCATTGCTATGATATATTGCTGGAAGTATATTCAAGTCTAAAAACAATTAAATTAATAGAAGAAAAAACAATTAATTGCTCTTAAATGTAAAGGAATGGACACATTCTCTGGGTCTGAAAGACCTTTAGATTCAGTCTGCCAGAAGCTGGGTGGGTATATTGGGAAACTGGCGCTAACATTGTGTACTACCTACAGAGCTGCTGCTGTCCATGGCACTGCGAATGGGAGTGTGGAGAGTTCAAAGCTATAATTTCAACCAGTTTGTTTACCGATTGTAGGTGAACAACTGGTTTGTGTGCGAGATGAGATTTGAAAATAATCTTGAGAGCTGTAACAGCTGGGAGCTTCCATTTGCTGTGAGACACAAAGAAATATCTCGCAGTGTGTATGATGTTCAGTGTACCCTTTGGAACAACCACTATCACGTGATTGTCTGGGATTTCAGGGGGCTGCCCTGAGTTACTAGTCTGGTCCTTTCAAGGATTATGTTCTTTGCCCTAAAAAATAGGAAAAGTTAGTTTCTGCAGGGCAGCTCTGCAGCAAAGGTTGGATTCTGTAATGAATTCCGAAGACGCTAGAATTATGCTTAATCCTGGATTCTGATTATAGGATGCTTCATGGACAAATCAGAAATGGATTATCAGTACAGCTGCCCTGTAGTCTTATATCTCAAATTCACCAAGCTTCATGTAACTCATACTGACGTAATTTTGAAAGCACAGACAACTCTAACCCACATATATGCATATATGTATTTCAAAAGTGGGATAGAGATTCTGTAGTAGGCAGCTCATCAGTAGATACAGCTGAGTATGACTTAAACATTTATTTTAAGGAAATCATTTGTAACTCGATATAATGCCTTTTGTCCAACTGTAATTTAGATGCAGGTGTTTGAGGACTGCTGCTATAGAATGTCTGCATAAATAAATTTGATTTTTCAGTGCTGTTGGCTGAGTGAGGACCTGTACTAGTACAAAAGTTGAAATGTTACATCGTGTTGACAGAGGTAAATGTGGAAGCTGCAGTCCTTGCAGCTGTGGTATGACAACAGCTCACTGCTGAGGTAGTCTCATTTATCACTCAGTCCCCACCTAATCAGTCAAAGGTTTTACAAAGCAGACCAGTGTTCTAAGCTTGCTTCCTTCACCACATTTAAAAAAAAATAAATCTCTTTTTATGCAGACAGAGACCAGGTACTAAATGTAAGCCTAGTTTCTCATGGTTACTGTGTCGTGAAGAATATGTGTATGCAGACCAGTTCGAATGACATATTTTCTTCACACTGAGAAGCAAAATGTGAGACCTGTATCTGAGAGATGAAACACTAACTGGATTTTATACCCAAAGCTCTCCGGCCAGCAATTTAGCTTTGAATTTTCAGTGAAAAACATGTGTTTAAAAGAGGAGGTACAAATGTTTGTGCAAAGGATCTTCATTGTAAAACTTATACTTGAATTTTGGGACCAATCAGTGTCTTTTCAATTGATTTGTCATTGTTGAATCCTTGCAAAACAAGTAAATATTAATACCCCATTCCATGGATGATTAACTAAGGCATAGAAATCAAATGAAATTACTACATTGTTCTTTGCTGTTTTTTCTCTTTTCTAATTATTGTCTGACTAGCTCACAGCTATGGAGGTTAATATTTCAAAAATATTATGAATATGGACAAGCTTGAGTATTTGTTTTCCCAATTTCTCCAGGTGGAGAATTGAAACAGGTTCTAATACTACAAAACGGAGGGAAAAGAGGTATTGTCCTCTGTTTCTGTTTATCAGCTAAAAAGAGGAGCTATATCTTTGTGGTATTAATGGTAATTAACCTCATTCATTTACTTCCTGTCATCTCTTTCCAAAATCCACCAACAGGACTGCTTGCAGGGCTGGCTTTAGACACCTCAACTGATCTTGGAGAAAACATCAAATGCAGCCACTGCTTAGTATAGCCCTCCTCTCTTAAAGCACCGTTATCTGCAGAGTAGATGCATTTCAGATATCCAGCTACTCAACCTGCCCAAATGATAACCATAAATAGAGAGGACTGGGTTCTTCTAAGAAGGGTTCTTGACGCTGCATGCCAGGAACAGATGAGATTTGCATGCAGCCTTAGCTCAGCTTGAGCAGAGGCTCCCTGCCCATATCAATGTCAGGTTCCAGAGCCTGTGGGAGTCAGCCTTTGCATTCAAACTGCTCCTCAGCTCTAGAACGTTCAGTGGCACAGCCAGTATCTTACAGGCTTACATTCTGAGACTACTAAGGGTCCCAGTGGGGCCATCATTAGAACCAGTCAGTGCTAGAACTTAGGAGTTTCCAACTGGGACCTTCGTACTCTTGAAACTCACCTGGCCACAGCTAATAGAGGATCTTCATTATAAGCATGGTTCTTAAAATTTTATCCCATTAGCTGGTGCCCAGCAACTTGTTCCATCCATGTCTTACGTTGATAAATTTACAGTATAATACTCTGTACTTCTAACAAGTAGAGACAGTTTGTGCTGCTGTTTAACACAGTCAACATTCAGCAGTCATTTTCTGTTATGCTATATGTGGTGCTGCACAAAAATGTAGGAAAAGGACCTTTAGAGTTTGGGGATTACAGCTTCAAGGTGTTGAGTGCTCAGTAAAATGTCACTTATTACCATGTGAGACATATCGAGCACCTCAGAGGATGACTCGGAATTTGACAGCTAACACTGAGATTTTTAATAACAAGTGTGACAGTTGTTTTACTGCATGAGTGATTGGATGGAATAACGCAGAGAGGATGGCCATCTCGGTGTGTCTCCAGGGGTTTGGCATCAAAGCAGGAGTGAAACAGCAGTGGGAAGAAAAACAAAGATGTCAGTCTGAAGGAAAATAGTGAGTTAAATTGTCTCACCAGGTATTCAGGGAGAGGAGAATATAAGCATTCATAGTACAGGGGAAGACAGAAAGAGAGTAGAGTGTTACTAGTGAGAGACCTGCTCAAAGGTGGATAATCTGGAAACTATAGCTAATGAAGGGCTACTTGAGGATGTGTCTTAAGTTTTAGTGGATGCTGATATGGAGACACGGAGAGGTAATTAGATACCTGTTGATGTTAAACATATTAAATTCCGTATGACACTTAAAAGAAGAATGGCAAAGTGGTGTGGTAGACTTAGAAATTCAGAAGATTTGACAGTTGTGCCAGTAGAATGCTAACAGCACAGTACAGGAACTGAAAATATACTTTCTGCATAGTTTGTTCAAATCTACCTGTTTTTCTAACGCGCTATTTTTGTAAGTATCTAATGTAAAAAATATTTAGTATCTTCTGCTTGACTTTTTTTTTTCACAGCTGAAAGAACAAAGCTTATGTTTTCAAAAGTGATTAATGAATTTGGTGCATTCGTATGTGGGTACCTATCTTGAAACCTCTGTAAAAAGCTGCTTTTTTTGAAGAAGCTTTAATTTTAGAAACACTAGATAGCAGGTTTCTTTAGGATGTCTCATTCAGGCCAGCATATATGGCATCCTCTCCACAAGGAAAAAAGGAATGCTCTAGTGAGTTGGCATGTTCTTACAGAATATTTTTTTATCAGCCCTACAGAAAGTCATCCAGGTAACACATGAAGAGGTGTCAAAAGATGTCCATAAACAAGAAGATATCGTTAAGACCACCGGACTGCAGCGGTATGTTGCCTGATGGGTTTCTGAATGACCAGGAGAAGCAACTGATTGGGACAGACTTGATGCTTTTTTTTTTCTCCTCCCAAACAATTGAAATTCAGCATTCAGTGAATTCAGATGACATTTACGTTTTTTTGGCATGGGTGACAGAATAGCCCATTTTACTGCTGTGCAAGCAGTATGTATTTTCTGGAAAATACCCCATGAGTCTTCTCTTTGCAAACAGAATAGATCTTATGCTCCTGCAGCTTTGTAAAAAAAGCAATGTTCTCTCTCATTCCTGTAGAATCCTTTCTGTTTCTACCATTGCATTTTTCAGTAGTGTCTCTATAACATTTCCAGCTAAGCTTACATTAGATGTGTTCCCTCATTACTCAGTTCTGTGCTGGTTTCCACAGCAAGAAGTTTTCACGTTCTGGGGAAGGTATACTGTACACCTTGTTGTGTCTTAGTTTGTTGCCAGTGGCTCAGAAGAACTGCAGAGGAGACGTGCCATTCATTAAGGACCAAGAGAGCATAATATCTAGGAAGCAGAGGCCCAAAAAGCAGGAGTAAGGGTACAAGTCTGAGTCTGAAGCACAGTATGTCCTGTTTGGAAAGCATTTGGCATGCAAATGTCAGAGAGCATTTTATTACACGAGACCAGAGCAGGCCAGTGAAGCCTTGCAGCAGCACGTTTAGTACATTTCAATGCAATGCAAAGGCACTTTCCTGGAAGGATGTGACTGACATGAAAGATAATAAAAATCCAAATTTAATATAATTTACAGGGGTTTTTTAATTCATCAAAATCTTTCATAAACTTGATTAATTAAAAAAACCCTGTAAATGATACTAAATTTAGATTTTTACTGAGAATAAGGAGATCTCAAAATTTCCGTGGGCTCCCATCTCTGTATGTTCTGAGCAACACGGGTGCTTACCACAAAACATTTACCACAAGATGTTAATTCCAGCTCTGTGTGTTGTGTTTTAGCCGTGGCTGCCGTATCAGCTCTTTCATTAAAAGCAAATCTAACTTGTGTGCCAACGTGAGGCAAAAGTTCACAGCAGTGCGTGAAGCAGCAGCTTGTCGTTTACACGATACCCTAGAGAGCCTTGAGAGGTAGGAAGAGACAGTTTTCTGTATTACTCTTCAAACACTACACACCTTGCTTCTGACCAGATTTAGGACTTGCCTTCAGGCCTTTTAAAGACGCATTTGTATGAGCTGACATTAAAATAAGAATATAGGGATGATGATAGAAAGCTTCATGACTGTCTGTGTAGTAAAAATATATTACAGGTTAAATATTCACAGCAGTGTTTTGGGATATTTCTGAAGGACTTTTCTGGAAATAGTTTTGCTAAAAACATTGGATATATTTACTTTGGACATCGTAGTCCTTTTCAGCCAAAGGCAGATTAATAAATTCAGTCCACGTGCAATCTATTTGACTGTCTTGTATTTTCAGTTCAGAGATCACAGTATTGTTCCTCAACATTACTTTGATTCTTCTCATAGTAACAGTTCCAACATCCTCTCTCAAGTCCTTTTCCCAGATCGGTGACATTTCTACTCTGTTGACCAGCCAAAGCCTGTCATTCTTTTCCTTTCACTCAGAAACATTCATCTGTAATGTTTGTGCAAATTCTTTTGTTTCAGCAAGCATCAGACCTGAGATCCTTCTTTACATCGCTGTTCTGAAGGGTGTTATAGGCACAGTTTTCTCTCCTCCTCTCACTTGCTGCTTCTTTCCATTCTTCTGCTCCATTTTGTACTTAGATTTTTTTGTTGTTGTTGTTCCCAGAGCTTTCCTTATCTGGAGCTGTGTCCTTATTTTCTTCCATGAGCAGCTGCTGTGGCTGCCTAAGGAACTAATCATTCCAGTGTCCTACAGTATGGAAGGGCAAGTCAGATGGAAACTTACTACCTCCAGCTATTTTACCATTCTCCATACCATCACACAAGTGTATTCTGTGTGATCAGCGTTTGGAGATGAAACCTCAGTTTAGCAGGATTTAGTATAGGTAGTTTTTTGGAAAGAAAAGCAGATGTTTGTTTTTGTTATAACACAGTAGTGCTTTTTGTAGGAACACATACATGAGCCCAGTCTCTGGGTCGAAATTCTAGCTCCGGTCACCCTATTCTACCTCTCTTCTGTTCTGTTCTAAATATTTTACTCTAAATCACTGCACAGTGTTTTTGGTTTTAAGAAGTGTATACTTGATAGAAAGTGGAGGTTGAATTTCAGTTTAAATTTTTTATTCTGAAGGCTAGAGCTGATATAAAATGTAAACACTTTTTCATATGTTTGTAGAAATATGAATGTACACAGAACCCTGAAAAAGCAAAAATCATTATTAGTGTCCACAGATTGAACATACAATGTGTTCACATTCATTGTTTTCTGCCTTCCCTTAGTATCTTCCCAGTTAGCAGGCAGAAGTGTGGTAACGTTTAAAACACAGCTTTAACTTTTAAGGTTTTTTTGTAGGAGGCAGGAAGAGCGATGTTTTCAAAAATACCAGGCTTTGAAACAATTGAAGTATTTTGAAAGAGACATGGAAAGAATAAGACAGCTGGGCATGAGAGCCGAAAAAGAACATGACGAAGATGGACTAAACTGGTAAGGAGGCACAGAAACCCTCAGTTCAAATGCTTGAAGACAAGAACCTACATGTGTCCTTTTTTATTGGTTTAAGGAGAAAATTCCTTACCCCTCTCCTGCTGTCCCAGTAAAATGTATCCTAAGCTGGAGGGAGGCAGTGCTTCCTACTGATGTGTTGCCAAATCCCTTAGGATTTTCCTTTGCAATGAAAGCCACAGCATGCCCCAGTCGTGCACAGTCTAGAAAGGTTTGGAACATCAGTCTCCAGGACTGTCAAAACAGCCCTGCAGAATTTATACAGAACGTTTTTTAAAAAGGCAGTCTTTTCACAAGAGTTTTATTTTTATTGTAATGTGTAATTCTCCTTCTAAATCTCCATTTTCAGAGTGGAATGGTAAAGACTGCATGTTACAGTGCACTTACATCAGTGAGATTTATGTCAGTACATGGAGAGAGAAGAATGATGATAGGACAGGGAAAAGGGATAGTAAAGAGAATCAGAAAGCGTGTCAGATCAGGCACTGGAAAATCCATAGAGGCTAAACAAAATAAATAGAGAAAAGATGAAGAGGACAAATCTGTTGTAAAATGGAAACATTTGTTAGGATTTTATTATTTCCTTTCACACCCAAGTTTGCCATCCGAAATTTAAACGAACAGTGAAGAACCATCTATTTCAATGCCCTGCAAAGGGAATTGGTGCACAAGTCCAATAAAGTAAAGCTCTTTCACGTTATTTACTCAGAATTACACTGAGTATTGCATTCTCCAAAGAGCTATTTTTTCTGTGGAAGTTATGGAGGTGGTGAAGTGGCAGAAATGCCAGGCAAACCCAGAGCTGTTAATCAGGTATGCATTTGTTCCCATGGCTTCTCTTTTATTGCTGCTGTTCTTTCTGCTAAAGGTTTTCCATATTGCTTGCCAGACTCCCAGAGTCTGTGAAGAGTGACCATCATGTACAGAAAATCTTAAAGAAACTGGAAAAATACAGCAAGACTCACAACTTGAGAATTCATCCAGACACCTTTCTTAAGGCTCTGGCTGACCTACAGGTGTGGGAGCTGTGTTCTCCAGAAATTGCTGCAGCTGTGGAGGTGAGATAGGTCCAGTTCTTGATTCTCTGTGTGCTGGGGGTGGGGAGAGCAGGCACCTATGGGTGAAATTCATGCAGTGGAAAGGTACCAGCTGAAATAATTTAGGATCTCTCTAAGTGAAGATGCTACTACTCACCTTTTACAAGGCACTTTGAACTCCTCAGAAGAAAGATGTTATGTCAAGCATTGGATTATTAATCAGTATCACTTTATTATTATGTCATTGTTGATTATTTACCATCAAAGGGAAAGTGACATCTGTCATGAATTGTTAGGATACTTGAAGAGAAAGAGTAACTTTTTGTGCCCTGAAAAGGCCTGTCATTCCCAGTAGTTACATCCATGAGCTATTCAAGTAATGTATTATGTCACTGATCCAGGAATTCTGCAGATATTTTTGTTTTGCTTCAGTAGCATTTAAAAAAAAAAATAAAAAAAAATCTGCCTCTCAAGATCTTAAGTTGGGCTTAACCCTTTAGTTCTAGAAGCAATTGGCAAAAGAGGAAGGACACAAGAAAGGGAAGAGAATACATTTAGAACGTGTGCTGCTATGTAGCATAACCAGGTAACGAACTTAAAAAAAAATGGCAATGATGCCACCTGGTGTTTTTTGTTCTCATCACAGTTATTTCCCCTAATCTACAAGACGAACAGAAATCTCTGAGCGAAGGCAGGTTACTGTGCATCTTGCATCTGTCGAGTGTTATCGCGCCTTCCAAAGGCAAAGATTTAGCGCTCGGCGTGTCGAGAACAGACTACCTGTGTTTTCTTGATATCTTATAAAAAGAGCCATTTTGTCTTGTGCTCCGATTTGCAGTCGCTAACCAGAGAAACAGCCTTGCCTTAATGTGCTGTATTTAACTCTATGTCACTTGCTGTTCTTTTTACATGCTTGTTTGCTGTTTCCCTTTGTGTTTTGATCCCTCATATTAGTGCAACAGCAACAGAGAAAGCACACGAGCATGGCTGAATCTCCTATCTGCTTATTTATACGTCTTTTCAGAATAGCCACAGAGGAAGGAGGACCTTGGTGCTCCTTCTGACTGGAATAGATAAAGCAAACTGTCACATTTTAAGAGCAAGAAGAGCATCACTGAATATGACCTGGCTGATACTGGTAGACATTCCAGATGAGGTTCTTATTTAACTTCAAGTTGGTTTTATGTCTGTACTGCAGTGATAGGTAGAAGACAGCTGCAAATTTAAAACACAAAGACTTGACTTGGAAGGATTTGGGATATAAATTGCAATGAAAACTGTAGAGTTTTCATTTTAATTTGTTTTAAAGCAGATCCATCTGTTCTGAAAGTTGCATTAAAAATGTTTTAGTGATATAAGGAACTATATATGTTTGCAGAAGCCGTTACATTTGTTCTGTTGCCACAATGGTCATATTTTCCCACGTTATCTCTTTCTTACACACAAATCAAAAGCTCAGGAAAGCACCTTTTCTGTTTCAGTTTGTACGTGAAAGTGTTGTGCAGATGCCAGAAGAGGATTTCAGTGAGTGGTTTCAGAAAAGAGTAGCCTCTCTCAGTGCACAGACTTCTACCTTTTAATCAAATTGCCAGATGAGATGGTTTTCCAGCTACAACTGTCTTCAAGCAGAAAACTCCTGCCTGTTGAGATCTGCCTCAAGGAAATACTGGGGGGGGGGGGTAACTTCAGGAAGTCCCACTGACCACTCTTGCACAACTGAGATTTGTCCCTCTGCAATGCTCTGCAGGCTGTAGTCAGCCAGAGGAAATAAAAGCTAAATACCATTGCTGCTTCCTGTATGATGTCTTATGTAACAAGCATCTACTCAGTATGGATATACTGATTTCCATATCTAAATAACATTGTCTGTGCTCTTTATTTTCACTCTCCTTTATAAAGAAATATCCCAAGCACATGGTAGTTGTTAAGACTACTACTAATTCTTTTTCACATTAATTCTTTTCTGTAATTCAGATGTTTTATTTTTGCATTTTTATTCTGTAGTTATTCTGTGATGATGGATTAATTCTTGCCTTATTAAAATCAGTATTGAAAAACTGAGCATCCATAGGTGCACTTCCCAGATTTTCACCTGAAGATACGTTTTCCCATGATTACCTTAGCATGTGGTTGCCATTACTCTGCTGGGTAAGGCAGCAGAATGACACCCCTGAGCTTGCAGACAGTGATAAATACCTGACTTTTGTGAACCTATCTGGGTCTAACCATGTATTTCGTGGTGGGTCACAATTGCTGCGTGATGGAATCAGTGACCTTCTAAGCTGATGACCTGAATGAGCTGCTGCCTGTCAAAGCTTCTAGGGGACCCACTGAGGAGAAACGCTGTTGATCCTTCGGCTGCAATAAGGGAAACTTCCAGTTTAGGGTCCAGGTGAGTACAGTGACCACTGATGTGTAATATGTTATTGATTAATGGCCTGATTTTGTCCCTTTCCTCA